CAGGGTAACGCATTGGGCCGAGATAATCGCATTGGCCCCGGCATGGTTCAAGACAACATGCCGGGGCCCTCAACAACTTCTCTTCAAGCTCTATTCTTTGAAGATACTTATGGTAAATTCCCTTACCAAATATGGTAGTGTAAACATGAATCAGGACAGAGTGAGATGAAACATGCTGCAAAATGGAAGCTGTGTCGGTGAACTTTCAGAGCAAAAATACGTGTTTTTGCCATGTGGTATCGATACTTCACAGCCCGATTTTCAAATAATGTCGCTGTACACTTGACCTCATTGTGCGATTCGGTTGTGAAGATATGGCCATCTTCAGCATCAGTAGCAAGCAGTGATTAAATGCCCATCAGAATGTAACTGACCCACCACACATTCGTCAGGTGTTGTGAAGAACATAAATAAGATTTCTAATGCCACCTGGCTGAATAAGCATGAGGGACATCTTACAGAAAAGTAAGCTGATTAACGGAGATGTGGTCGGGATGTAGGCTACAAGGAAAATGAAGTTTCTAAAATGATGTCATTTGGACTCTGAAAAATAAGGCGAGGAAGTCATCAGGTCGAAAACCTGTCGTCGAGTACCTCCTGACAATGAACTGCCGGTTTTTAAACTGCTGCCAGAATCTACTCGGAACGCTGACGAAATTGAAAAAGAGATAAATTCTGCTCCAAAATCGATACAGGTTTCCGATTACTTGGCTCCGTTAGAAGACACTGAGCACTTCATAAATAATTCAATGTATCATTTTCCCTGCGCACACTACTAGCAAACTCGCGCACTGTAGCAATTTGTTTCCTGCTCCTTTTACATCTCGATTGTCCTGTGAGCGACGCTGAGGGACAAGAAATAGACTTTGATAGCTACTTCGGGGACGTGGGTATTGTGCATACTTCATCCCATACATGGGAATCTTCTTGATACAGTCTGCGTAGGCTGATCGCCGAATCATGTGACGTTAGCTCAAAAGAAATCAAATACGCGTAAAAAGTCTTTTGGGTGTTGACGCGACTAATTAGATGCTTAAGTGACGAATCTGGCATGTGATCTGTGGGACCATGACATGGGGTTCATTTAGGTAGATTCCTTTTTCATCCCTTCGTCGAATCAAGTAGACTGAAAGACTAATCCAAGCAAGTTATCGCATTGATCGAATTAATAATCGGAATAGGATTCGACTAGTTCCACTAAGTCTGCTTCACTAAGGGATGGAAAAAGATATTTGGTTCAAATTTAGTAGAGGACAAATTAAGCACGAGAGTGCCACATCTACGACAAAGTGCTCTTTTTTAATTTCCTGCTCTATTCTAACCTCTTAGAATTAGTTTTTCACAAATCCAGTAATTTTACTTTGCAATTCGTTAGTACATGCCTTTAGATAATAGGTAGCCTTGTAACTTTTTGAAATTATGCATAGTTTTAATCTCCAGCGGCAAAGATAGGATTACCGGTGGATCGTAAGTGTTGATGACAGGTGATGTATGAGTCGAGTTGAGATTATTCGTAATTTGACGCAGGAATACGCACGAACAAAGGAATATGGTAGAAGATTTAAATCCGAAGAAGTCAAGAATCTGCTTTACCCTTTGTGAACGATAAACTCTGAACCAGCATTCTCGATTGAGTGGATCGAAAAGTTGTCAGCATCATTACAAAAAAAAACAAATAGCTGACTAAATTATTCGATCGGTTTATCTAAGAGGAGGACGCATACCTCTTAGATACTTTTCACACAGCTTGCACTATGTGACTAATTAGAAAATCACATGGATATCAAAATACTTAAGCTAAGCTGTCTTCGATGATGCTACCAACTATCCCCATGGACTGACTCCAAAACCCGGTAAATAAAGCCATCAAATATGATTCCGCGTTTTGGTGTTATCGCGCATCGTCACGTCGTTTTACCGTTACTGGTGCGTTGTGGGTGTGCAGTTGCAAGAAACCTCCGGCGCTCAAGCACGAACCACAACTTTAATTAAATTGTCAAAGATGTCAACACATTGATCGAATTCCAATCAGATGGACAAGGTTCAATTAGCCAATCAGGCTGCAGCAAATTTGCGTAGTCTCAGGAAGCCCGCAAAGGCGTATCGCCTGCCAAGGTCAACGCCAGAGGATTGGCTGAGCTCGAGTGTGTGTGCACGCGCGCATACACAAACCGAAGACATACGGTATCCTATCGAAAAAATTCTTGCAAAGCCGAGCAGCACATCTGCACCACCCAAGCTTGCATGCCTACTTCATCGCGACGATAATGTGAGTTTTCGATAATTTTTTTGTTTGCCAACTTTATTGATACGGGTCAGTGGAACCTGTCAGTCATCTTTAGTCAAAGCAAGCAATGACGCAGTAGAACTTCTGTTCAAGAGATTGGCTGACGGGAAGTCGGATTGTATTTAAGAAATGCTAGATTTTAGTCAAGAGAGTTAGTTCGTGGAAGTCAAGGTTTTTACTTTCTTGTCTGGAAGTCACACTAAAGTACGCACGTGACTTGAGGTTAATAATTGAGGAAGCCACAGTACATGTTTGACCTTTACTGTTTCCTTATTTACCAGGACAAAGCTGCTTTTTTCTCAGTAATTTTTTCCGTGCTAGTCTTAGAACTATGCAAACGCGTAGTCACTGCTGCGCAGACTGTGAGTCGCCATGCCGTTGTGGAATAGTTCAATCGAAATTTCAAAATTCTTAAAACAGGATTCATGGTCAGACACTACCTTCTTTTTTCTGCAGCAAATTCAATGGGATGTTTAGGAAGAGGGTTATTAAGGAATTGTTCATGCAGCAACCTACAAAACAAGTATTAACTGAGAGAAAGAGAGACCGAAAGCACTACTTGGGAAAACATGATTGCGTTGAACCTCAGGATCTGCTTGAAATGGTGCTAAATGGCACCAGCACAAATGCTTTTCCTCGATACAGCACTTCTGTATTTTCATCTGCTCTCTTCGAAAATTTAATTCAATTCATAACTCGCAGGGATCTTGAGAATCTAGCATATCAATGCTTTTTAAGAAATCATTACCCAGCAACCTTGATTTAAAGCGTTCGAATGATGATTCAATAATAAGTTGTGTTGGGCCCCTTGAAAGTGATTTAACCGATCGTTAGAGACATCAGCCTGCAAATCGTTTTCTAAGTGAATAATCATTTTTGACTGCCGTATTAATCTCTCCCAAGTTAACTAAAATGGCTCTTATCTAAGACGGTTTTATGTTGAATAATAAGCAAAAACAGTTTTTGCCGTTTTTCGTTTGCCGAAGAGCAGGCCTGTTGGTGGATTTTGTCTCAAATCCTCGGTGTACCATTGGCTGAGACAGATTCATGGTATAAACCTATGATAATTGGCAGCAATCGCCTCCGGTTTGAAAGGTCATAAAGGCATTAATTTGAGGGACGGAATCACATGCATTAAAACTTCTTCGGCTACATACGACAAAATGACAGTCTTTAAGCCAGAAGCAACAAGCTTCGTGTCGACGCTGCCCTCCCAATATCACAGGCAAACTTTTGTGAGTCTATCGAATCAGCGTTTTACGCGTAATACTCTGTCAAGAAATTTGTTTTTCCGATTTTTTTGTTTAAATTAGTGTAATAAGAAGTCCTGATGTCTCTATAATTGAATATCAAAGTGAATATCTCATTTTTCAGAAGTATGGTCTCTAAATGAGTTCCTCTTTAAGAAGGTTCACAACTAACCACTGTTTTTCACTTTCGCACTGTCACCCATCATGCCAAATATTAAAATCTACTGTGGGCTCGATGGCTCAATGCAAAAGTGAACCTCAAAATATGTTAATTTGGATAATTGGCACAGGATTTTCTCATTCGCATGCCAGTAACTTTCCGCTCGGGGCTTACAGCGCCACACACAACATTCATTGAGGCTGTTCTACACACAAGGACTTAGGTTTGATCAGAGTAACGTAAGTTGCGCAATACTTGCTCAAAAAAACGGTCAATACCAAACCGGATCCTACCGTACAACGTGGAATATTTACAGCTAAGGAAAGCTAATAGTTATTTCAAATATCGCGGAATTCATTCCTACCCAAGCATGTCTTGCCCAGATCCTGAAACCGTGAAGCATGAGGAGGTAAAAAAAGTTGTCTAATGATTCTCTGCTGAGCAGTTCTGTGGAATCAATAAAATTGGAAAATTAATTTTGCTTAGGAAAATTGTATTTTTCACTGGCTATTCAATTGAACCCGAGCCCCATTTAACCCTGGATAAAAGTTACTACAATTAGTGTCAAGTGCCCTTCGGTATTTGTTTCAAGGACATTATTTAATTAAATGACGCTCAAAACTGCTGCACTCTAGTTTCAGTCCCTCTTGGCTTAAGATCATGTTTATTTGCAGAGGTGAATTGCATACGATGCATTTTTTAGGGTCATCATTTCTTTCTTGGGCGACTATAGCAAAAAAATGAAAAATAAGATCCATTCCCCATTGTGTTTTTCAATATTTATCTTGATATTCAAGTATGTTACTTTTGAAGGTTTAAATGTTCGAAGGAAAACAAATACTCACTTACGTGGCCTCGTCACACACCTAAAACCACGAACTTGATCGTTTTGTGTCGGCAACCCTCCACAAAACTGTGGTAATTATGCATTTGTGTGCGCTGATGCGTCCGCAATGTAGAACACATAGAAAGAAGCACAATCGAGGTCTGAATTGTTACCCTAGGATGCACTAAACTGTAGCGGGGCTCCAAATCAATCTGCATTTCTTTCACCTCAAGTTCACATCTCCTGCGAAAATGGCAGTGTCAATGTACTACCCGGTGAACCGCCGACAGTCCATCCACAGGATTCCAGCTTACCTGCCCACTGAACCCCCCCAGAAACCCGCCTCTCCCGGCGAATCCTCGAGGACACTTAGCGGGGACAGCAAGAGCACCTCCTCCGGCTACGTGACCCCGCGCATCGTGCACATGGAGGGATTGGGGAGAAAGCGACCACCACCACCACCGGCGCCGCCGCCATCGTCCTTTCATTTCACTCGCCACCAAGACGGCATGTCGCCGTATTTGCGTAAAAACAACTCGAACGCTGGCCACGACGCCTCCGTGGAGGCTGTGGTGCACGCGGGGAAGAAGCGCTCGTTTAGTGCGCTCAAGAGGCAGCACCAGGGTGAGCTTACATTCACCTTTTAGACAAATTTTATTGTCTGCTGTGATATTACTAAAACGGTTGGGCTCGGTGGTCTATTGTTGTACAAGTCACTAGTGGTCAGTGCTTTCCCTACGTGATGAGCATTAGGCATATATGCTTCCTAATGCTCTATGTTCAGCATTTTCCAGACTAATCAACATCTACATAAATGCTAACATTGTACTACGTGACCATAAACCAATCGTCGAATTTAAGCGGATCAAATAAAGTGATTAAATTCATGCAATCCTGTCGGTCTCTTTAATTCTAATGTTAAACATTACAATCTTACTACATTCAAAGCATAACTCGATTTAGTCCTACATGATGAAAACAGGAGTCTGGCGTGCTTTTCGTATTATCTTGTTTAAAATTACACTGAGCACCTTTACTAATTGCACAGACGTAATTAAGTGACCTGCCAACGACCTCGCTAATGAAGCCCTTTGTGTTAATCAAAAACCCATGATTTCTGAAGACTTGGCTACTTAACCTGCTCATATTGCAACCGCTGGCATTTTAAAAACCCAAAAGATACTTCACACCAAGTTCGTAAGCATAGAAATCCGTATTCCTACATACTTAAAAAACGGTAACTGATAGCTTTGTGACCGGAAGTGAATAGAACGAATGCCTTGCATTACTTAAATCATCGAGAGAAATAAAAAGGGCTGATAAACTTGAGGCAATTATTCTCATATCACTAAATCAACAATAATAGCGAGTATGGACAAACAAGTTCTCATTGATTTGTTCTTGATCTGTATCAACCGTTTCACACTTGGGAGTGCGAATAATAGAAGCGAACCTGTCTGATAACAAGTATATTTTTTATTGCTTTCAAAGTCCAAAAGTCAGGAGACCTTAAAATCCACAAAAAAAGTTAACAGCTAATAACTTGAGATACCTCTATTTAATTTTTCAATGTAGTCAACGAATTAATTAATCTCAAACGTCCTAAGTTAGCACCTAAGTGGATTTATGTAAAATGAAGTGCAACATTTAATAACCTTCCACCTTTTTTTGTGTTAGGAAGCTAATAGATATTTGCTGCTCCAAGTACACCTAACGACGTAATTTTCGCCCAAGCGCCCTCGATCACCCGTAAGCTTTAAGTCTCAGATTCCTTGGGATTTTGCGTCGTGCACTATTTTACCCAGCCCCTAAAGAGTCCGCGGAATGATGTCCAAACCAAATGACTTCATGAATGTTTTGGCTGCATCAACACTGAAAAAGTGGAAATCATGTTCTCACCTCTAACAGCTTTTAAAAACTCCCTCCTTTTGACAAAATTACCCATCGCACAATTCAAATGGATGCCCTCCAACTCACTTACTTACAATTTGCGGCCGACTAAATTAGAACAGTCCTAAGCTGTGTGCCTCGAGGATGCAAATTTTGCCTGTCTCTTTGTAGATAGGTTTTACTATGGGCCTCGCGAAAGATCGATTCCGTCCAGTCGATCACACACGGAGTTGTACCCACCGCTGTCCCCATGGCGGTTTGAAGGCCAACGCAGAGGTAGTTACGGCCACGAGTGTCCACCAATGCTCTACGCCCACAGGGGGCAATACCGCTCGTCAAACTTCAACAACAATAATCGCGGTTCTCGGACCTCCGCCTACTTCCCATCGACCAGTAGTACAGCGTCGTGGAAGGGTGGGTTCGAGCCCTCCCCAATTCCTCTGCCTCAACCCCCATTCCCATGTATGTCGACTTTCCTCAGTGTCTCTACACCTGAAGTCTGTGATGTTGGGAACCACGATAAATCTTTGGTGGATCGAACATATACACCTGCTAAACTTATTTTAACTGTTCGTCTGTTCCATCGAATCTATTCTGACAGAGTGAGGAAGCTTTGGGTTGTGAGTTTGTGTTCAGCTGTGTAAAAAAGGCATGCAATTAAGCAAATATAGTGGGCTCCTATTGGAAGAAAACACAGTTCAATTGAACTTATTGCCTGATAATTTAATTACGGGTGATGAGATGCAGGTATTTCAAAATGACACAGATAGAATTTAGGACTCCCATTGACATCACTATTGTTTGGGTGATGTGATTAACGCTAAATCTCACAATCAGAGTTTTGGTGAAAAAACAACTTAGAAGGATTCCTGGGTGCATTGACGCTGAACATTGGTCAACGGGAAATACCCAAATGTCCTTTTACCGGGGCTTGATGGTGGCATGTAAACTGGAATCTTACTTAAAATTACGCGGTGACAACACTTCCTCGTATGTGCGTCAAAGTAAGGAAGGGGAATGCGTCGTACTGCGATTATTTACGAGTTTGTAGGGTCGGGTAGACACTGTGTCACACGGATGTGCGTTCAATGCACAAACTAACGAGGCATTAAGCTTGTATTTCTTTGGAGAACCCATGTAATTATGTGGGTGTCGGATGACGTGGAGTGGTGACATTGGAAGGGAACTTGACGCAGGTCACGCAGAGAAGCGCATCAAATAAGCTGCGATTTTGAGGAAGTATTCATGCGTAAATACTGCTTGTGATTATAGGCGAAATATTTTCGCCGAACTTTTTATGGCAACACACTGATGGATTGAAACGGGACCTTCAACAACGCGTGTTTAAGCTTCCTATTTTATATCGAAGTTTGGAGATCACTTTGTGGTTAGTATTGGATGAGACATGATCTCTAAGCGGAAACCAGGTGGATGTTGTGGAACGACAGTGATGATCACCCGGTCCTCGGCTTAGAATATCTTTGAATTTTCCATAATTTATCTCATCGAAGTCAAAAATAACTTGAAACTTTATTTCATATTTTAGCCAAGTGGAAATCCGAGACAAACTTAAGAGGTAAGTTTTTGATGAGGTCCTCACAATTTTTCTAACACTGGCCTTAGAAATAGACAAGTAAATTACGCGCATTTCGAACTGTCACAAGCCCACGTCAACGCAGAAAATGAAACACAATGTAGCAAAATGTCTGTTTATTGACAGTTCATTTAAGTCTACTTATAATTCGTCTAGGCTACAAGCGGTAGCACCAAAAATGATTACTAAATTGGATAAAAAATGCCTACTAAAAGCACAAATCGTTGGTTTTGTTGACAACCTATCCACCAGCTATGGGGACTTTCACGATCCTCAGATGTGCTTTTGGGCGAAACATAACCATTAATCTTGCTATTTACTTTCCCTTCATAACATTGTCATGTAACAAATGGGTTCCCTTTTTGCACGCTTTAAAATCCATAAGGTTTGTTGTTTTTACCGATAACTACGACAAATAGCGTCCACGGATTTTGGTCTTGTCATGTAAATACTTTTCTCCACTAAAGTTTAAATATTTATAGTTTTCCAAATGCGACCCACGCTCCTTACATTGCTTTCTTGTACATTTTTTATCAAAGGCTTTAACGTTGAAATGCTACTTGTTTGGGTATTTTAGCAAAAACAAGCAAAATTGTCTTGAGCTTTGCATTATCCACTGGCAATTAAGTAGGCTACTATTTAACACTCAACACCAAACAGATAATAGTGTATCAGTGGAGATAAAGCCTTATCTTCGGCTTTTGAAACACCTTTTTTTAATTATATTCACCAAAATTGCATGACTTATTTGCAGATTTCTGCGTTATTTATAGCGAGTGGAAAGAATGAGCCATTAAAACTGCAGCAAAGACCTCAGCTCCAAACTGTATTCAACATAAAATCAGTGTTCAATTAGGGTGTATTGCGGAAGGAGCGTAGTCAAGGTTCCATCAAAACACTATCTTTATTTGCAGCCACTTCCTACACACAAGATAACTTGTATATCTCTGGTGGATTTCCATCAATTCTCCAGACAAAATGTCTACGTTTCCACCACTTGAGAAGCATTATTCAACAATTTAGTTGGTGCAATACCTGACAAAAGGAATCGATGCTTTTACATAATAGAAGGTAGTGTAAGCCACTAAGATGTACAAAATAGTCTCTTTCATCAGAAGTTGTTCTAACGGTCAAGTAAACGATTTTTGTAACTACTCTCGGATGCTCATCCAAATAACCCGCGAACGATATTTTCCTTCCTAGTCATTACCTCTTTTTGCATGTTTCTTTAAAATTTCTCAACTCTATTTTGACATTGCTAGACACTGGTTATGCACATTCTTTTACGCCCTTGAAGACTGCCTTTTTGGTACTTCAAATTAGCTACAGGCCAGGGAGAGTTTGGCTTTCCGTAAACGCCTTCTATGTTTGCTTCCACAACATGGTCGTTGAAATTTGAGATGTGACGTGGTCTCTGGTTACCTAAGAGCATGTCACTCGGATAGTATCCTATGAACAGCCCTGCTTGAAGACACCTCTAAGCATAGTGCATTAAAGATTCATTGAAAATATTGTAGTCCAATTATTAGTTTATATCCTTTGTATTAAATGTGGTTCCGTAATTTTCTGGTTTAATTGCTAAAAATCTATTAAAATAAACACTGCATATTAAATTTTAAAATCATGTCGGCAGCGTTCCTAAACAATGATTAAAACTAGAATGCAATGAGAGAAATCGCTTGGCGATGCCTGCATTTTAACGATATGTTTATCAAATTCTGGACTTATCCGGTAATTATAATCTGGCCCATATTTATTGCTTTATACACTAACTGGTATTTTTTTGCTACTTTTTGTACATTAGTGAGCAATTTGGATGAAGAGGCTGCTCAAAGTAAGTCATCCATGCACAACGCGTTTCCTTTCTCGGTTTGGGTTGTCCTAATGTACCCTTATTTTGTCTGATTTCATTTCAGTATATAACGAAATTCTGGATGCAATTAAAATTTACGGTAAGTAGAGTGCTAATTTGTACAAAAGGAAGCAATGCGAGGTGTGTGGAATATGTTTCAACGTTATCTCACATCCCAATAGAAAGTGATAATCTAATTTGTTTCGTTTGCACCAAACCTATTCATAAAAAAAATTCATTAAGTTCAATTACACTTAGGAGTCCTTGAAAATGAAGAAAAAGCATCGCCTTTTGGAGATTAAAGTACCGAAAGTCCCATGAAGAAAAAGGAAATTTGATTTAGACCGACACAGCTATGTCGATCCTATTTATGGGCTTCGTAACTATAATTCAACACGAACCTGTTCTTTTGAAGTGGCGCATTAATGTGTTAAAGACGCGAATTGGGCCTCGAGCCCACGCCGGGGCTGCCACTTGTTGAGGTCCGTTCACACAATGCAGGCAAACTTATTGATTGAACATCGCCTTCGTTTTCCACCTATGGAATAAAGGTAATCAACCACCTAAATGCTAAGGCAGGACCTTTTTGTGATGCCTGGCGAACCAGATGATCACATTAAAATTTCGAATCCACACGGTAGTCTCCTCTTTTTAAAAGGCCCGGTTCGGCTACGCAGAAACCTGGGGACCATTCAAGAAGGCTGTAGATGACGGAAACACAGCTGTTTATTGGGTGCTTCACTTCATGTGTTGGGTGTGCGCTCATCTGCGTGTACATTGCTGGTCGTGATTACCTGTGAGTCCCGAACCTTCAAAGGGCAGGTATTCATGGGTGCACGCGCTCAGTCGCAGAGTGGAAGGTAGCAGTTGCACGGGGATGAAGTATTCATGTGACCTGAACGTGCACCAACAGAGCTGGTAGACGAGAATCAGCACAAGCGTTTCATTCTGGTCTGACTGATTCTACTTCATAAGGATCCAGAATATACAAAGGACAAAAATACTATTCCTCTATACCTCCAATTCAACTTCCATGACCCCTAAGGTCCCTTCAGTGCATCGGTGAAATGGTGCAACTTTTATTATTCTAGTAGGGTAAAATTGGAAAAACGTTGTGGGACAGGTGGCCTAAATTATGCAAATGCCGTGTATTAGTCTGTAAACATGCCGTCTACACCAATCGCATGGCGAGACGTCCACAGAAATGTTTCAGTAACCCAGGTTTTCTTTCCGTTGTTTCTAGATTCAGCCGATCAAAACACCAGTGTTGCCGAGTCGCGATCACAGCTGAGTCAAGATCGACAGTGGCATAGCCTTCAGGAGAAACCCTCATCGGTAAAGCAGGCCGCCTAGAGTTAACCTCTTTTAGCTTTAATTTTAAACAAAGCCAGATTCAAGCAACCACGTAGTCACTCCCGACGCTATTTAAGTCATGACGGTAGGACGCATGGGATTCGATTATGGCCCTAGAGTTTTCGTTACCGCCTTCACCTATTTTCAGTCAAGCAGCTGCTTGGAAGCCTGTAATATGATTTCGGCTTACTATCAGTACGGCAAATGTAGCAGGAGTCGCTCAAATTTATCGGACAATGGTCAGTCACAGTTTCTCAGTCACGTGGGAGCGAACGCCTGGGTGTTTCAACTAAAAATGCATTCACCATTCCGTCTATCTACGAGATCAAATTTACACAAATCTGCCTCAGAGTAGTTGAGATTGTCTGATCCGATATTCACCTAGGGGGTTTGTTGCATGGCCCTGGTATGTGGTTTTGAACCACGTCCTAGCCACTGCGTTGAATCTGATCAGCTTACGCTACCCTGCTACCCACGAAGATGAAGAAGACGAGAGAGGACTAGGCACAATCGTTTGCTGGATAGTTCAACCAAAGTGTGGTGTGTGTGTGCGTGTATTAAAGTGAAGATATGACTGATACAGTCGGGGTGAATTAGTAACAGTACGAACATCTGAATGGCCAGATAGACAATGCGGGTATGAATGATCATGCCCACCGTGAAAATGGGGACGACACGACAACATAATTCACTCCAGGTTCAACTGCTTAAGCTCAAGTAGATGAGTTGCTTTGGCTTTACAGAAAGCATCTGGGATGGTGGTCTTGTGCCCTGAAACGACACCATCAAAATCCGTACGATGGTTTGCTAACTCTCCAGTCACCTCTCGTGTTTAGGCGATATCGAGTTAAAATCTAGTCTTATGACAGAAAACGCGCTGAACGGCAAGGCGTTATTCCGCTGTGATGTGTAAGCCTTTCACGTAGACAGCAAGATTTGCGACTGATTCGATTTCTCACCAGATCTAAATTCGCTTTTTTTGATTCTAGTTTGATGACTCCAACGAAACGGAATCGCTCACAGAATTCACTGAAAAAACGACTCCTATGCCATCCCTCAAGTTGTTAGACAGGTAGTTCATTTCCAGACTGTTAAAGTCTTTTTTTGTTTCTTCACAATATCCTGATTACATGCAAAACATTTCTTTAATTCATGCGGTTGACTTTCTTGTGTCAATAAAGTTAGATTTGCAGAAGCCTGGGTGTTAGCCAAAATATGCTCTGAACAAGTGCATGTGTAATTGCCATTTTCGTCATTTTATGAGGGGTTTGGTTCTGACAATTCTACTTTTCACGAGGATGAGCTCATTGTCTGAAGAATCTTTGACATCATTTTCGAATTGCAATTCTTTAGATGGCCTTGAATTGTCGTTTTCGAGCATAATGATGGCTTATGACTCACAGCTTTGACCTGTGGGAATTTCAGCAGTTTTCAGTTTATCTCAGTTCTAGCTTCAGTAAAATAAAACCGTTTTTTTAAAGCTTGGATGTGAGTTGTGCCGTTCGCCTTTCCCCTACAAACCGGCATCTTTTCTTTCGAGTTCATGTGATGCGTGATCACATTTAGCGGCCCAGTAGATCAATACCTGTCACGCTATAAGTGATTGTGGTTTTCTCGGCAGCTACACCTTGATTATCCGGTGCGGTGTAAGCTAAATTGTTTGTGTGGCAAATGACTGAATATAAAATGATAGATGCCGAATTAATCATGTATTATGATCAAGTTACTGGTTCAACATCACACCGATTTTGTACGCATTGAAGGGCTAAAGCCATGCTAAGGCCAAAAATTGTACATTTCGAGTATTGACAAGGCCTTTAGACCTGGAAGTTAGTAGCTCTGGGTAAGATATATGACTCTTTTCGAATTTACTTAAGTCTCTCACGGCCTTATCTTTTAGTTTAAACCGCAAAACAATCGTCAGATATTTCTATTTACTTAAATCTTTGGTGGTATTATAGAAGAAAACCCAGAACCACAGAGGTCGAGCGTCACCACAGCGATCGAATTGTCACCGACTTGACTGCTAATCTTAGAGGCCTTGACCTCTCGTCCCGGGCCCTTTGCAATCGAAGCAACAGCCTATCCGCTTCCATACACCCTTCCAGTTACCACTTGGACGGTGGGTTTGTGGACAATGCTGAAGAAACCGCCCTTGCGGCCTTGGACGACGCTATTAACGTCGATTTCACGAGGTTCTCTGCAGTCGCGGGTCCTGCAACCAAGGGTCCCACTCAAATCATCCGCTCCTACCTCGGCGAGGCCGAGACCGATTTGAAGAAACCGCAGGAGCGCCAGAGGAATGGTGTCGCCAGTCCCACCACTCTTAGTGTGATTGAAATTGAAGAAGGAGAGGCGCGAGATGAAGTAGGCACCGCTACCGACTGCTCTGACAACGAGGACGATTTATTCCATTTCGACGTGGAACCTGGGGCGGTATTACGCAGACTGCCACATGCTCCTGATGGCGACATCCCAGGTCAATCGAAAAGGTGGCTCGACGGTGTTCACATTAAGTCTTCCTCCCCAGCGGACATTAGCGATAGCTCAGATATTGATCTTTAATCAGATTTCATGCAATGATTTGTACACATGTTATCACTTGTTTGTTCGGTATCTTGTTCTTTCGGTAAACACTTTGTTCTTATTTGAAAAAAAACTCTAATCCAGCTCCTTCATTGTTGTTCGGCATTATTTTGGAAACGGTAAAATTGGTGGCTAATGTGTGCTAGTGAGTGCCTCAGCGTGCAACACAAAACTATTCAATTAAATTCGATCAACACTAATAAATCAGGGGAACACTACGTGTAGATTACAGGGGCTAACTTTGTGAGTAATTTGGGGGTCAATCGGAATCGCAATTTCTGGAAAAACATTTAACCTCCTTTCGTGTAAAATCGAAACGGAATTAATGGGATGCAGTTGAATGTAACAGTGCATTTGTGGTTCTAATCTGAACAGCGGATGCAGGTCTTAGCGGATAAATACATTGGGCCAGTTGCAGTGGTCCATTTTTTGAAAATTTAGAAATTTGATGAACAAGTTATTCATCATTACGTTTATGACTTTTGTTTATTCTCAAAAATCGTTGTCGTGATATTCCCAGTGGCTTCAATTGAATGGAATTTCAGTTCTTAAGGGAAATTTTGTTTCGGATCGAAGCTTGTGACCACGCGTTACTATGGGATGCGGTGAACAGCCTGTGCGGCAATTTTACCTCGGCAACAACTTGTTGACTTTGAAATTGATGGCAGCCGTTCACCGATCCGACTGGTTGACTTTATGTGCCACCGAAGTAGCAGCAGCAGTTGTCTTTGGGATGATTCAACTTGTTTGTTACTTGTCTGCTTTATCACCGTCAAAACATCCAGTTCGCCATGTTGGTTATGATTGGCCTTAAAAATATGCTCCTCATTTATTACAGCAAAAAATAGCTTTTACTTGAACGAGGGAATGGCTGACGTTCGATATTTGCGGTAATTAAACACCTGAGTAGCTCGAATAGCGTTTGGATTAATGTGATTGTTTGTCATAGAATATAACAGTTGACACTCGAATAAACTGTGTAGACGCCTATATTTCATTTTCTAATTACGAGTGAAATCGCCTTGTCGATAGTTCTGTGATCACACTTGAATTGCATGCCTCATCCCCAAGCGTAACTCATTTCACGCGGTTACCATTCCAAAGTTGAAGGGTGTAACCCGATAAGAACTTTACTTCTGACTCACTACTTTACCTTACGATGGGAATGTGCCTAATATAAGCAAGTGTGGATGAATGAAACAGTAAACTACTTGTAGTTAGTGCTAGAAGACTGAAAGGAGACAGAGATTTATAGAGCTTTCTGAAGATCCAAGGATAAAGCTTATAAGTTAACACTGCCCCCGACTGCAGTGCTGCCAAATGATTCCTTGTTACCTTTTTTACCCGGTATGCTGATGCAAATTCCTAAGCTAAAAGTTGAAATCCTTGTTTGGCATGCTGAAGGCTTCTTAGAATAAGAGAAGGATAGGGCTTTATTGGATGAATCAAAGGTTCGAGTACAAGCTGGGCTAAGGCGAAGGTCAAACGGATGCCTAGACGTGCCCATATATATATATATATATGGCTGGGATATATGAACTCGATGATTTGAGTAAATAATACTTGGTGATGAGACGTTGGTGTGAACGACGATCGACGTGACTGCAGAGTTGCAATCAAATGAACAGAGCTGAGTGAATCGACGTCACAAATCGCTTTGCTAATTTAGTTTTCTTAGGGAATATTAAAAGATGACTCGCACCAACGTCTGATCCAACAGTGGCTTTACACCTGCCACATCTAACCTCATTTGCTCACTGACAGTGACTCACACTTTGCCTTTTTTTGCAAGTCTTAAGGCAAAAAATGAACCTGCGCCTTGTTAGCGAACTAGTAGATGTTTACTTACAGTTGTCGATTTTCTAACTATCCAACAGGTTTCATGAAAAGACTTTACAGCGCAAGAATGGACCATTCACAAAAGGCGTTTGACTGAAAGTGAACATGTCTAGTCAAAATATGTTATTTAAGGCTATCATTTCACATCTTCCTTTTGCCCCCAATGAGATTCAAACGGTATATTCTTTGTACACTTAAGGACATCAATATCTACGACTAATTGGGATCCAATTCTGGGTATTTAAAAATTAAGTGTACTTTAGACTTCGGGGTATTTGGGCACCAAGAGATAAGACATGTGACAGCCATTAAGAGGTCTCAATTCTGGATTTTGTGCTCCTGGATGATGTTCAATTGGGTTTAAATTCAGTATTACATTGTCAAATAATTCAGAATACCGAATGTGGGAAAACGAAATTTATGCAGCTCAGAGCAAAGGTCACCTCAGTGACCAAGCATAAGTGGGAAAAGATCTGTTCAACCAAACGGGATAGGCTGCAGGTGCCTTGCAAACGAGCACACTGACGTCATAGTCACCAGCACAACTCTGTGGGCTAAAAGTACGATTTTTGAGCCGACTGCATGCCCTCTCACGCTAAGCTTGACATTTCTGCAGGCGATCATTATATTGTTGCTTCCTTCAAATTGAGTTTGATAGCACCACACTGCATCTATGCTTTGAAACAAAATGAGAATTTTTATGGTATCGATTTATCAGCCCTTCTGGATTGCGTGAGAGGAATACCAAAGTATTAAATGGGTTACACCAACCTTGACACGCTCGATCTCGGTCGTTCAAATGACATCTTTTGGAGAGTGGCAAAAATGCTCCTCATTACTATCCTGTGCCGCCTGCATTGTGTGTCGTGCTACTGCAATTCAGACGGTCATTCCTCCGTAAACGCCTTTTACACCCTTTTGATGGTGTAAAATGCGAAATAATGAGTGTGATTTGTTCAATTGTAGACTTTAGTTTGCTATGTTTTTTATTAAAAAATAACAAACAATACCAAAATACCTTCACTGAACAGTTTGGTGCATATATTTCTAGCAGAGCATAGACTTAACTCGCAGAACGCGAACTATGAAGTTGTGTGCACCAATTGCCAAATACCAGAAACATGTTTGTTAAATTTCTTCTAAAATTATCCTGTGTTCATAAAATGATGATGCTTTGAACCGGAAGACTTGCAAAATCCCCAGTTATAGGCCTCTGGAGTATGACCTGAACAAAAGCAACTCCTCGTGATTGACGGCTCTCAAAGGCAGTTAAACACTGTGCTGAGCGTCCGAGCTTTAAATATCTTAAACCTTCCACAAACTTTTTACAATTGAATAATAGGTCAAAATAGTCTGCTGGGTGTTGACTTTAATTTCGATAACATTTATGGTCCAAACAAGTAATTCCGCAACAAGAACGCTATGAATCCAAAATAGCCTATTAAGTGGGTGGTAATGTCATAAAACTAACGCCAAAATCAGACAACATACTACGTCCATTTATTTTTGAAAACTGTCATCAAAAATGTCACACATTCAAGGGAACTTGCAGCATTGAGCGTTTTTGCATCTGTTGATTTTTTTGGAACCAGCACATTTTACTCCAGTCTTCGATAGCAGCGCTTCCGTAAATATCGACACTTCTGTTGTGTCAAAGTACTTTATTTCAAATTCGAACCACTTCACTGACCTCAATTAAAACCAGGACATATTTCTCAGGTAAAAAAAATTCACTAAGTAACAACGAATTTCTGCTAGGTTTTCCTATAGCATGCTGTCAGACACTGTAAAAAAATGTTTAAAAAATATTTTTAATCCAGCCTTTTCGTATGTGACATTTGGCTTCCGTAATCAATATCTGGCTGATTTTCAACTGGCAAACAACGTTCTCGCCTTGGTGAAATGTCCACAAGGCAAGTTTTACCATCTACGCGAAGATCCAGGTCTCTTAAGTGAGTAGAGGTGAATTGGACTTGACACCATTTATTGCGCACAACTGGATGCAACATTCATTCCTAGTCGGGAACTTAATAAGTAGACGTTTAATCCAAGCATCAAACTCTAAACTGCATAAAACAACGCGCAAATCAGCAGGGCATTGCTTAAATAGGTTATAAAGATAAGTAGAGAGTCGATTGCCCCTGTCGAATTGCTGGATTTAGTTTCGTGTGGTTGATTTCTGGGAAACCAAACCCTCGACAAGTCGTGTTTAATATTTGCCCTAATCCGTTGGGAGGAGATGAAGTGTTACTTGTCGAATTAGATTTCAGATAAGCATAACTGTGTCTTTCATTCAAAAGACTGCTGATTACCTGATTTTGAAATAATTCCATGAAAGTTGGCGCTCTTTCATTTCGATGTGAGCACAGTGGCAAATGCCTGGAAGCATCAACGCACGCAGGCGACAGGACAAATCGCTTCCCACTTCGAAAGCTGATTTTATCACATGCACGAATTCGGCAATAATGCGACAACCGTTGCGAAATCTAAAAATTGGTCTATAACCACACCTAGAGGCTACCCAAACCATTGAACGCCGATAGTTCTTGGTTTAATTATATTCTTTGAGCATTTTCTTCCAAATATGAACTTTTGACTACATTTTCTAGAGAGGTTCCTGAGCACGACCTCACCTGCACGAAATATTCTCCTTTAAAATGAATCGATGCGACCTGCAAACATTAGTGATTTGGCTAACTTTTGTGCGTTTGATAAATATGACTTCTCGATGTCCAACTCCTGCTAAAACACCATGGTTTTCACGTTTTCATGGTTTGTTTGGCGCGTGAACTGGAGTAAGTCCTCGCACTGAATAGTCTATTTAGAATATAATTACTTAAAAACACGAACCTTTTTTGTACTTGATGATGAATGAATATGTTCTATTAAAACGATTAGTACATGATCACAATGAAATATAGCATCATTTTCCATTTAACAATTAAGTTTCACCCAAAGTCGTGTGCAGATTTCGGTTTGCAGCTTTAAACACATCCCAGTGGGTTGCGTCCTTAATCTGTCCGAAAATACACAACCTGGTTACAGCAGTTCCAGTAAAAACTCGCGACTTCGCTTTATGAAAAAGGGCAAACACAAAAAAGGTGGAGAAGTTCTTTACGGGCATTAAGTTCGTCCAGACA